AACTTGATATGCTTCTTCAGATTAGATGGGGAATTTTTGAAGGCCATAATTTCTGAATCTTTTGGGAGGCATTTTTTTATAGGCTATCGCCCAATAGAGCTATCTATAATTACGTTTACATATCAGTAACGAGTACAAAAATCGATCGGAGTAAAAGTATTAAATTAATCAAAAATATGTAGTGGAGTAAAAGTAAAAATAGGGAAAAAATATATACTCCAATGAAGCACAGATACTGCATTTTGGTACTTAATACAGTACTTAAGTAGCTCTACTTCCTTACTGAACATCTCTGTCCATTTATCAGATGTTTTCAGCCATTAACTGATGAAAATGCTGTGAAATTTGACAGTCAAATCCCATTTTCTCCTGCTGCCTTCTGCATCTGAGTACACTGCAGCTATTAAACGTGGTGAAAATGCGCTGCAGCCCACAGAGATGTCGCACATTGTACAGCCTTCCCTGAATAATACCCTCTGGAATGTCCTTGTCATTAGAAAGTCATCAGTGAGAGTTAATTGGTATTCAGTATCAGCAGGAAACTTAGCACACAGTGAAAAACATATTTTATTTAAGGCACACATTTGGAGACATCGAGCCTTTTAAATAGTGCTGTTAATTATGATTCAGAGCGTGTGATTTCTTTAAAATAAGGTGCCTTTCACTGCTCTGTTTCTGTGCACAAATAATGGTTCAGTATCAGCCTGCAACTAGATGTCAAATTAAATAATTTACTCAAATAGAAATGATTTTCTTTATTATGCAACTTGTCTTGTTTTCACACTAAGAGGACCCAAAAGGCTTTGCTGTAGAAATATTCTAAGAACTCTAGCGCCCCCTTGTGGTGATGGTGCCCACGTGCTCCTGTTACAGGGGTCGGGAACCTTTTTGACTAAGAGAGCCATGAAAGCAAAAAATTGGGAAATTTATTTCAGTGAGAGCCATTTAATATATTTTAAAAGTGAATTAAACTACATGTCAGTATAATAAGCCTCTGAATTGATTCTTTTGAATAATGTTGTTATAATACTCGTGTCGAAGTGCCGCTTTACATTCGACCGTTTCATCGATGCAATTTTGTCATTTCAAATTAGAAACACAGCAGAATTAGCTCTCTCCACAAAGGCCAATTCTTCAGTCCATTCGTCCTGAAATGTACGATACTCGTCATCTTTTTTTCTTTTCGCCATCTTCTTCGTCAAAGGGTTAGCTTTGAGCTAATGAGCTAATGACTGATTCAAAAGGGGCCGTTTACCTGTTTTACGCTGCAACGTAGTCCAGTATCATCCAATTAAAATAATGGACAATTGCTCCTGAACAGGACATGAGCAGTGAAAAATCGATGGATGGATATTTGTAGCTTGTATTTGTATACAAGTGAGAATATTTTGTTTTATCTGTGAGCCAGATGCAATCATCAAAAGAGCCACACCTGTTTCCAGGCCATAGGTTCCCGACCCCTGTCCTGTTGCAAATGTTAATAATTTAATCTCTAAATCAGTGTTTTTCAACCACTGTGCCTTGGTACACTAGTGTGCCGTTAGTGATGGTCAGGTGTTCCGTAGAAAATCATCCTATTTCACCTAATTGGTCTAAAAAGATTTTTTGATAAGGAATTAATTATCTGCAAATAATATTCCATTTCTGAGTGTGTGTGTGTGCTGTTCTAGTGACTGGTGGAGTAATCATGTAATAATTCCTTATGACTAGATTTTGTATATAATTTTGTAAATTGAAGTGGACATGTTAAGTGCAATTTGAAAGAAGAAATATAAAATATGATAAAAAATAATTTTTTGTGTTTATTTGATTCCTATTCAAGACACTTAGGATAGGATAAGAATGAGATAAGAATAACCACAGTGTCACTATAGGCGGATACATTTTTGGTTGGTGGTGTGCCTCAGGATTTTTTCTATGAAAAAATGTACCTTGGCTCAAAAAAGGTTGAAAA